AATACACACTTGGGTGTGTGTGCTAACCTTGGCTTTCCTATGGAGACCTCAGAACAAAACAGGTCTAGTTAATGCAGGTCATGTTAGAACCCTGTCCAGACTAAACCACATACCCTCTCTGAAAAACAGTTTTCGAAGCATTTTTGGGTTAGGGTTGGTTTGGGTTGTGGTTATGCATACCAAAGTGAAGAGGTTGGGTCAGGGAAACTGTCAACAAAGCTCGACCAGACAGTGTTGCACAATAAATCAATGTTTTCTTCAAGACTTTGTTAACTACATGACTGCATGACTGTGTGTTTCTCTGTGTTATGACACATTATGATATTAACCCATTAGTCTGCTAAAACAGGTTAAGCTTCACTATATGCTACACGCTGACCAACTGCTCTGATGCACAGTTGCTCTGTACTATGAATCAGATTAATCAGAGAATCTGTCTGCAGGTGTGCCACCAAAGGTTGGCTGCTAACCAAGATCCAGAAAACCTGATTTTAGCTGCATGGCTCAATGTGCAGAGCGCCCTAACATCGACCCCGGCCTGCACTTACACACCACCAAATCAGTTAACGCCAGCCCCTCTCTGACTTATGACACACAGCGCATCACAGCTGTCGCTGCGCTGGACCAAATTCCCCGCAGACAATGCATTGCAGACCGCCTAATTAACAGAGACACAAGGAACAAGAAAGCGCTGACACACCACGGCAGGAACACATGTAAGTTGGCAGTGAGCATTAGCGCAGGGGAGCCTCACATCAGGTCACATATCAGTGTTTCTCCTTCCCTTCAGAATCCCCCCCCCCCGCAGTTTGCTCACCCGGCATGAAACAACTCTATTTGTAAGATAGATACTAAGGGTCACTGTCTCTTATAATGCACCACTCCCATCCAGGGGGAGATTTGTTTAAAGTTCATATCCCTGGGGAATCCTGTACTAGAGCAGACAGGGGGGGGGTGTGAGCAGATAAGAATGGCACACATCTCTCCCAGAGATTACCATCTCCACAGACTATGCTGAGCAAGCCGTGCATTAACTGGGCCAAATTGGAAACATTTTTCCTGCAATATGGTTCTGCTTAATATCCTCCTTAAAAGCTTTCCTTGTTGCTGGAGTTGGAATCTCGCCGTGAGTTAGAAACTCTTCGGATTCTCAAACCCTCATCAAACTCGGGTACTTCAATGATGCTCTGATACTGCTTTTCTCCAGTGAAGCTACGTGTACAATCTACGGGCCTCTCTGGAGTCTTCACACCTGTAAAGGGAATAATCAGTACAAACACTGAGTGAACTCACTTACAAATAACATGATAAACCTCCAATAATTGTCTGCAAAAAAGTTCAAATAACAGCTTCCACCAACTCCAGCCAGGATGCACAATATCCTAAGAACTGACATGACACAAAACAAAGGATTCACGAATCACAGTTTCTGTATGACACTCTTGTGAGCAAACTTTACCCAAGCAAATCAACACATTTGGATTTAACACAGGAGGAGTGAGTCGGTAAATAGTCAGATGTGATAAAAGAAAACTGACAAAACTACTAACGACTAGAGCAATTCAAAAATAGCAGCGAAAGCCATCAACACGCTAGATAGATATTTTTATTTGGCCGTAAAAATCCTAACATCAAATAATGCTGCCTTCTTTGAATTTGCACCAAAAAAGCTCTTGAAGTTCTGGCCAACAAGATCCGCAACACTCTAATCCATTAAATATCAAGCTAGACTTGAGGCTAGATTTTACCAGCCATAAGTGCAACACACCAACTGCCACCTCTCACATTTTCACTCCTCAAGATGGATGATTAAATTGGAGAAGGATCACACAGAGGTAAAGAGCAAAGGATGAATTTTAAATTTCCTACAAATACAACTGCTGTATTAAGAAGCACGCAACAGTGACATCAAAAGAACCTGTTGAACCCATCAACTACTCGTAAAGAGGTTTTACAAGTGAATGGATGCATGTGTGCATACGTTAAACTGTTTGAACCTGTTACCAGCTATTCTGTAGTTTCTGCAATATGTCTAAAAAGGGTACGCCTATCTTCTTAGCTTTCTGCAACCACCTGCTGCTTGTCTTGCTTGAAAATGAGACTAGCGTGTGCATGATGACATATTCATTCTTGTTCATTTCCTTCATGCATGATTCGCAACAGTGAGACAGGTGAAATATGATATCATGCAGAAATTTATGACGGTGCCCTGTTTCTGGTGGTCTATATGGGAAGTGGACAGTGAGTTCCATGTCACCTTGTCACAATCTAACTGATAACAGTGTACTAACTATACATGTTTTCATGAGATGCAATTCTAATTTCTACCCGGCGCAAATCCATCGTTGGAAATAGTTGTTTGTGGTACCCGCTGCTACATCTGACTCAAACCAGCCAGCCGACACCAGCAAGCTCAGTGGTCGAGTGGTTAAGACGTCTGCACTAGTAAGCAGGAAGTCGTGGGTTCGAGTCCCACCCGAGTACGCTTGTGGTGTTTTCACAAGCCTTTGAGGGCAAACACTGAGTATACAATGTGATAATACACATTGGGCAGGGCAAAAATCTAACATTAATTAAGCCCTTCTAATATTAGCAATGCCACTTCAAATCACACAATATAACAGCAGATGCATCATGTTAGAAGAGTGGATGAAAAGAAAATGCACAGTCTAGTTAACATTGATGGCACAATGACAAACAGTGATAACCATGGTCTCATAAAGTCAATACAAGCATCAAGCCCAATTGACCAACCTGAGTGACACTACGAGTTACTGTGTCCCTAGGCCCGTCCAACCCCCCACTGCTGCTGCCGCCTACAGACTCACATTGCTCCTCCCCCTCCATGCTGCCTGACGCCTCCTCCGGAGTGAACACGCTTCCGCTATCTGAGCTTTGCCTGGAGAGGGTGTCCTCCAAGTTCTGCACCGGCGCGCCAGGCTCTGTCTCAGCGATGCATTCCTCCAAGAGCTCATTGCTGATCAGAGGCCTGCTCAGCACAGCATGTGGGGCCTTTGTTGTTCCTGATGCTCCTATGATTGCTGATGATGAGGTTGCAATTGAACGACGCGTTCGGGCGGGGCTGGTGGACAGGCTGGTGCTGGTCAGGGAGAGGCTGGAGAAGGTGTAGGGGTTGAGGAGTTGGCTGGGACTGAAGGAGGAGATGGCAATAGAGTTTCTCATCCTTGGGGCTGTAATCAAAGATATGGAAGCAAGAATGAATGACTTAGAATGGAAATCAAAACCAGCCTCAGCCTCTTAACTGTTCTACTCCCAAGCAGACTTCAGTATGTCTATGATGAGTGTCACAAGAAACCTTACAGAAAATAGCATGTAAGGTCACTATCCCACTTCACATCATGTTGGAAGAAAGTTTCTCCTAAAATTACACCATGAATATCATGATTTTCAAGATTTCATACTTCCTGCTTTCCTCTGCAAAGTCCACGATAGCCTTTGAATTGTGTACATTCTACCTGATACTCACTGATGCCAAAACAGCATAGACTGTACATGTAGATGTGAAAAGCCGAGTGTGTACATTTCTCTGAAATTCCAACAAGCTACTCTCAGCAATGCAGCACAATGTGTAACAAGGTCTTTTTACCTCTGTGTCTCATGTTGATGGCCCTGTCATTGATTCTATCCTCGTTGGGCTTGATATCCAGGCAGGGTTTACTGCCAACACCCATGGATGACAGCTGAGCCTGTCTTGCCTCTGTTATCCAGAAAGAAATCAGTCAGTAGACTTCAACAGAGACAGTTTAGAACTTGTCTGTTAAAATACTAGGAGACAGTAGTTACCAGGATAAGCAGGTAGTGCCTGTCTACAGCACTTTCCAGTGCCACAGCTCGGACAACCTACTTTTCCTTCTCCATTTGCCATTAATTCACTGCTCATGCATCTCTTCTGTTTTCAACTTTTCTAAAGGTTGGCAATGTCTTCATTTTGGGGGCTATTGGCAGGGCAACAACACATGTCGATGGGAAATACACAGAGCTGCTAGTTGTGGCCTCCATGGGGGCATGTGTCATTTCAGCCGTGGCCAGGTCATTCAGCCACAGCCAACTGGCAAAGTCTCAAACCTTATCCAGGACAGCAGGTTGGGCGCAGACGAAGCAGCACCCTGCACACAGTCACAATTCAAAGTTGGTCCTGAAGCAAGGGTACACCAACACCACTCTCACTGTGCAGTGAGCTGAAGCACAAGCATTTGCAAATGGCCCACAAGATATTTGGCTTTTGTGCACATTCAGTCGAAGTGAGAAGGCCCCACAACAGTTGCTGCACAGATTCCCATCCTCAAGATTGATAAGTCTGGAGGCCAGCCTTAAAGACCCCCTTCCCTCCTCTTTCCATTTACCTTTACTCCTGAAGGCTTGCCTCCACAGTAACTTGCTGATGTCCTGGGTCCATGCCTGCTTGATGCTGTTGGAGCGTGCGTGAAGTATATACGCCTTGTCGGTGGTCTTACGTCGGCGGAACCATATCTCCAGTTTCAGGCCACTCTCGCCAATGTTCTCTGTCATGCCTATATCTGTCATCTGAGGAATCATTTACAGAAAATGTACAAAATGAGACAAGGCTGTGTTGGAAGAGAGGCTACATTGGCACAGTTTATAATGGCTTCTCATGTAACAGCTTTGGCAACCTGCATAGTAATGATGTCAGAGTTTACATTTTGCAAATGCAGTTTTGCCAATGTTCTGATGTGCCAATTCGACACAAAGGGCATAATTCCGTCGTAATGAGCCATTTTTAAGACAGTGTATGCAAAATATCCTTGCACTGAATAAGCACAACAAACTCAAGACAACTCGTAGCCAATTAGCATTAGCACATTACGCTGAGACATTTAAAGAAGCATTGCCTACGACACACCAGAGCTTGCACGTACTCATTTAGTGCACACATTGTTACACATGGCACAATGAACAGTACAGGTCTGAGTCTAGGTACTACACAGTGGCATCCACACACTGTACAGAGTCTAAGTACATGAACTACGCCTGACTTTAGCTTGTGTGAGCAATTTAACACCATTCCCTGTAATGGTAGAAAGATTGAGCTCTCTTTGGATGGCCTGACATTAGCCCCAAGTTGCCAAGACTTGGCTGAGCTCTGTCTCTATGTCTGGGCAAAACTCTGCTTACCTTGAGGCTGAACTTGTAGTGATACACATCATGCCCTCTGGCAGTACGGCGTGTCTTGCTGAAGAGAATCATGTCTTCAAAGAGGAAGACATGCCGAACACACTTACGGTGGCCACGATATACCAAGAATTCATCCTGAAAGGAGGAAAAAAGATTGACATTAGTGACAGTGATGGTAGATTGAATTTCACGTGTGTAAAGAAAGTTCTAATACCCCAAGCTAGAGCTGATTTGTACCTCAAAAAATGATTATTCATTCTTACCTGTCTTAGTAATTCGCCCTGTTCATGAAGATCGACCTGAAGTTAAAGTGGAATAAACAAGCATGTTTAATGAAACTATGAGAATCAGGTATAAGCTTGAAACATAGGTTAAGTGTAGTTTTTCACCTGCTTCTCAAGAAATGTATTGAATTATGTATGAATGAATTGAAAAGGGAAGGATCTCGGTACATTATAAGTCAACTGTCTCTGTTTCAAAGCAAGATTAACTGAAAACAGATTTCCGTTCGAGGCTGCCATGTTGGATTTCTTCTACCATTGGCAAGCGTTCCAAGGAACTAGGTGTAATGTGTACTCAATGCAAAAAGACAAAATGGCCACTGATGGTAACGGATATAATGGACATGAGTGAATGTGCACACAATTTTGGTTTGTATGCAAAATCTCTTTGCTGTTATTACTTTGAATGATCTCCAAGCAATGTGCTCCTCACCAACCCATGGATGGATAAAACAGAATAGGAGCACCTGACTTCCCCAAGAAGGGAGCAAATTGACAACTGGGTCAATTTGCCACATACACATCCCTCTATTGGATTTAGCTTGGCCCAACTGATTGGATTACCACAACCCAAAAACAATCACCAGGGTCCCCCACACCCTCTACTGGCTCAGTCTGGCCTGCTAATCCCATCAACAAACAGGATTGGAGGAGAGAGATTATGACATGGCAGGATTAATTGAGTGCTTGCAATCAGGTTAGCTGGGCTTGATGTGGCCTTTTTTTGCTGTTTCATTATTTCCCCTCGTTAGTTTTCTTCTTTGAAGAGATTTTGCATGAGCTGCTGCACTTTTTTTGACATCGTAGATTTTAAATCTACTTACTGATTTTTTCCTTAGAATGATAAAATGTCTAATTAATTATGTTTAGACTTAACAGAGCACCAAGGTTTGTTACTTATTGTCAGAAGCCCTGTCCACACTGGACTTTATTTTCCGAGGATTTTACTGAGCCGATGGGAAAATGAAAAATGGGCAAATGTTACCACCGTCGGGGATTTTTACCGAGACGCGTGGGAAAAGTAACCAAATTGTCACTATAATGTTCACCCTTTGACCCAAGCACGCACGCGCCTTTTACAAACATCCAGTCATGACATCCATAATACACATCTTTTGGATAAATGAATGATTGCGCATTAAATCTTTTATTTATGAATTTCTCAATATTTGACGACGTGATGGGTTTGTAGCTCTATGGTTCTTCCAATGATACATTGGTGGCCCAAATTAAACTTCTGATTGTTTCAGTAATAATATCTGCCATCATTCGAGAGACTTGAGAACACAGAATCACTGCACAGCAACCAGAATTAAGCTTCACAGTGTGTACATGTATGTACGTCAGGTGGATGCTTGCAACGCACATGCGCGGGGTTCGTGTGAGCCTGACCTTGCCAGTAAACCAGATGTATGTTTCCCTAAGCCGCTTTTACCGACTCGTAATGTCCGCATTGGACTTTCTGTCTTGGGAAAAGTGTCTCGAGAATTCTTCCTGGCCAGAAGTCGGCCGGTAAAAATTCCCGCATGGCTCAGGAAAAGTAACTGAGAGGAAGTTTTCTGGGGACATCCGCACTGGACTTAAAATGGACAAAGTACCCATCGTCTCGGTAAGTTTGCCCAAAAAAGTCCAGTGCAAACAGGGCTATAGCTTTGCAAGGAACAAGAAGTAGACCATGTCATGTTAGTTATCATAATACATCTAAAATTCTCAAACATTCATGAGAGATTCAGTTTGTTTTTCCTACAATGTAAACACAGTCACATGGTAAATAATGGAAAACAAACATCTGAAGTCCTTATTTCTTTGGGGGGGCCTTGAAAGGCCATTTTCCTTCACATAAAATTTACTGGCCTTTTTGCATTTAAAGAAGCCCTGTTTTACACCGCAAACTATATGGACAAACACCCATTACATCAAGCAAGTTTTAGGGCACAAAAATCCCTACTTTTAATAGGAAATCACATTCAATTTTAAGGATCATTTCAGTTCACTGAGTACAGTTTATAAATGGCTCACACTTGACAAATGGTGGCGCCATTTTAATTTTCTGTGTGGTACCAGGATCTCAGAAAAAAAGAGACCTCAGCTTAAACTTCAAAGAGACAGAAAAAGGTTCCAAAATGGAATAGCCAACATTACATCCTACTTTAAAGCCACGTCTGCTTTTCTCCTACATGTCTTTATTTGATTTAATTGCAGTGTAAAATGGTTGCTAGGGTACTTGGTTCCCATGATACTCACATCACAATCTTTGATAGAATCCATAGCGAGGAGGTCGTTGCCATGCCTCATCTGAAATTGTACCATCTCTTCAGCAGACTAAAACAAAAGAAGAACCAGTCAAACTGAGAAAAATATTTTAAAACAACTACATTTTAATATTTTGAAGATACTTGTGACACAATTACTTGCCTCTCACTCATGGAATATTAGGTGGGGTTGAAATGGGACATTTTCAACAAGGTCATATTTAAAGTTGCACTTTTTTCCTTTGGCTATCCCTCGATGAAACATTTTCTGGTGAGCTTAGCATGCATGGCAAAAAAGCATTGGGGAAACGTCTACATACTGTCAATAATGAAACTACAACAGTGAGAAGCTAATGCAATTTCCTCATGGGGAGTGATCGCTCTTAAAAAATGACCATTTTGCTGCATGACACTAGTTTGGGAGTGTCCAGAATTTTATATCAGGAGAACCAGAGACTCCCACTCCAGAGAGTCGATTCCTGAAAAAAGTGAAATCGTGATTCTGATTTTTAACTTGGAATTGATTTGATTTGATTTGATGCCAGCATGGAGTTACCCCAGCCTCGCCTCTGTGCCTACCTTGAGTGAAGCCAGCTCCTGATCGGAGGGCCGGCATTCCCTGATGAGATCACGAAGCAGTAGGGCATATTTGCCGAGTCGCTGGACAGGCTTCAAAAGGTAGCTGGCCAAATCCATGCGGTCCCGTATCTTACGCTGCTTGGTCTGAGCACCAGAGAAAATCAGGAATACACCAAGGACATGTGGTGAAAAACACAGGGGGAAAGCAAATAATTTTGTTCATTCATTATTCTCTAGATTCAGTATCTAAGACTTGAGGACCAATTACACATGCTCTTTGGTTTTACAGATTTCCTAATAATAAACTGGACAGCAAAAGAAACTTGCCACTTCTGTCAAAGGCCACACATAAAAATTCACTCCATAGAAATAAACATTTTTTGTACACAGGTATGCTGCAATACCCCTTACTAATCACATGCCCCAAAGCAAGTGGTTATTTTTATAAAAAAGAAGAAATTGACATGCACAGCAACTTGGTTACTGGATCAAAAGTCACAGAATGTAACAGAATGAGCCTTAAGTTTTACGCAGAAATCAATGTCACAGGACAAAATAAAGAAGTCATAATCGTTAGTTTGACAGAAGTGGCAAGTTTCTTTTGCTGTCAAGCGTATTTTTAAAATCCTCACAGTTTTCAGTTATCTTTTATCAACATCCATCACTTTTTAAGATTCAAACACTTAAATTTTTGAAGATCTATGATTTGTAGTTAGCAAAGAATATCAATGCAATAAACAAGTGTAATGTAAGATTCTTAAAAATGTTTGTTTGTGAGATGAACACAACTGAGATACTATTTTTTGCATATGTCTTATTGGGGGGGTCTTACCCTGAAGAATCCACCGTAGTCGGCCAATAAGCTGTCAGATCGAGGCTTGTTCTTGTTGTACAAAGCGTACAGTCCAAAACCTTTTTTCTGTGCAAACAAAATATCAAGAAAGAATTGGATGAAACAAAGTGTGGATGTGGCAAAAAGGGACATATGACAATTTCAAGATGACCACAATGTTGACACTGGCTTGTCACCATTAAAATGTCATTATTAGCACTAATGCTGACATGAGTTCCAAAGTTGAGGATGACAATGACAATTATTAATAGGGAAGATAAAAATGAGTGTTTAAAACTCTAAAAAATCTACAAGTTGGGGGGTCAAATCCTGATGTCTGGATAAATCCTGAGAAATCACACCCCTTTGCTTTATTTTTAGAAAACTGTTGGTAAAAGCAAAGATTTCTTCGGATTTGCGATAACCTCATTACAAATGAAACAAATACACATTTCTGTTCTTGAGCTGTCAATAAAACACACACTGTCTAACCCTTACAAAAAGTATATTTAGTTTGAAAAAGCTGTCACATGCTCCAGGAACTGTTACCTTAAACAAATGCATGTATTGCCTTTAAAACTAATCGTAATGGAATGCAAGATCTAAAAATGATCACATTTTCAGAAGACACGTCCTAAAGGTGTTACATCTCGAACCAAAATAAAGACATAGATTTACCGTCTCACTTTAAAAATAATCTCAACATTTGGGGAAAAGGTGAACATAAAAATAACAGGAGAAATGAGAAGTAGAAGACGACGGGGCAAAAATGAGATGGAATCTATCATCACGGCGTGACCACAGGGGTTGTTTCCACAAGCTTTCCTGTGTGATTCTAATCAGGGAGAACCACCTGTATTAAACATGTCTCTGTGGACAAACCAGACTCACAAGGGGTAAATGGGCCAAACAGAGTGCTCCAGGCCTTGTTTTCTTAACATTTTAATGTGTAGTGGAGGCTTTGTCTTGTGCCAGACATGCATGTGGTGTGGGGATTTTTTCCTTGTCTTTTTCTAGCAGTATCAGAGGGAGAGAATGAGATTGATTAATTTCAATGAGGTTAAGTTCTGTTATCTGATTGATAACTTCCTGCAATATGGCATTACACACACGCTTTGCTTTAATTTTTTTCCTTTCTTTTTTGATTGTGACAAATATTTGAATATCGAGCTTTTCCACCCTCCTGCAGGCTGATCTTGAAAAATCATTCGCCGAGAAGAAGAATGAGGCTAGGGAAATCGCTGAGACACAAGTGGCTTCCATGCTAGGATCAAACACTGGATTCATCTCCATGGCGGCGATCCTAGCTGCATGAAGTATGTGAGTGGTTGGGCAGTTACTGATCATGACCATATTAACCAAGACATTTTGATTCATGGTTTATGACAGGGAAGGGCTTCTCTGTGTCGTTTTAAATCTTCAAGTTGTTAGTGACTCGAGAAGATACTTCCTGTCCTGCAGACTAGATGGATAAGGCCCTACTTGACCTGATTTAAACATATATAGGCTAATGCAATGCAGTATTACATTACCCTATATAACATCACACCCATCAACATGGGAATTTCCCCCATCACACGCATCAACAAAGGAAGCTCCCCCCTCCCCAATCATACCCATCACCAAAGGAAGCTCCCCCTATCAGTAAAAGGCATGAGCATAAAAATATCTTAAGAAATCCTCTAATGTCAGTGGCCATACTAGCTGACACTGTGGCCACCCTTAATGCCTCAAGTTGGCGATGGGACTGTATAACATCCAAGGGTATACGTGCTGCCGAAACCTCTACCATCTTGGACCACATTTACAAACAGACAAACATTCAAGAAATTGAAACAATTACGATTGTAAATCCAGACTCATCAGCCAAAGCTACATAGCCCAGATACTTGATTAACATCTCTGCATACTTTTTCTTGAGGTGTAACCAAAGACTTCAAGAGACAACCAAACCATATTGAATACAGCCCCATGAAGCACAATTAGCCATTATTACTTTGTTTATCTGTCCAGTGGCTGCTTGCAAGACAGACACAAAAACAAAAATTGGGAATTTCAAAGTAATGTTGGCCATGGTGTCAAGACACTTACATGTTGCAAGAAGCAGTGGCAGACTTGCAGTGGGTCGCTCTGGCACTGGCTGAGTGCCTTCAGGAAATGTCGATCATGGAACTCATAGATCTTCTCTAGATTGCCGAAGACGGCACTGCGCTGCCCTCGCAGACCTTGGGGAATGTCATCCCGGTCCATCTCTGGAAAATAATTCTAGAATAGTCCGTCGAAAAAGAAGGAGAGAAAGAAAAGACCTGAAATAATTTTGTCTGTTGTTTGAAGGATGAAGTGATTTGGACACTTATTGATATGTGAACAGTTCATGCACTGTGCATTACTTGACAACCTGAGTGTGAATTCGGGGGGGGGTGCCCTCACTAAGGTCAATCTCCTCCAGTTTTTGAAACTCCAGAGGGCAGCACTAATCATTTATGGGAATGGTGGTAAATGTGCAACAGGCTACGGGCTCTGTGCTTAATAAGAGATGGTGCATTTTTCCATGAAGTGACACATCCCTTGTGCACACAGGCTTAAAAGGGCACAATGTGAGTATGCAGAACCCACTTTCACTGGAATGCACAGTCTTGGTGAGTGTGCCAGGTGACCGACTGAAATTATCGTCCCTACCTCTCCTACCTTTGCTAGTGAAAGAATTAGAGGAATAGCACTGAAATGTCTCCAGTTAGGAGAACTGCTCTGTATATCTACCCCATGACAGTCAAGAGGGATCATCCATGAAAAGTTAGATCTAGGGTTACTGGTGGTTAATTAGTTGGCTAGTGTGGTAATACTGAGAGAATTAATATTTCCACTCAAACTATACGAAGGCGCCATTGCCAAAATTCAAGCTCAAAACTGCACACAGTGGTGTAACTTGGGGGGGGGTATGGGGAACAGGCCACTCCTTGTTACCATATGTGCCCCTCCCCTCCTCCGTCCCGCCCCCAGCTCAGAAATTAAAGAAGGAAAGATCTGGTGATAATCTGCCTTAGTCATTGCTTTAATTGTGACAGAACCCACTGAATTCCCCCTCCAGAAAGTGACGACTCCCCCGAGTGCCCCCCAAAAATGTACACCAGAATGACACTGGCTGCTTCCAGGTAGGCACACAGCTAGTGTAAACCAGCTAAATCAACCAGCAACATTAACAACTTCTTATGAAAGGTGGTTAGTGAGGAATCTTCAACTATCTTTGTTTAATCATCACAGACCAGTCTACATGCCATCAGAACACGTCAAACTTCAAACTTGTACTTCTTACTATCCGAAAGACAAGTTCACACTTGAAAGTGAAAGTGAGTGTGTGCATGACGGCAGCCAATTTTCACAGGACAAATATGCAAACATTTCACAAATTTCAACTTAAGCAAGGTTTGCTGCAAGTATTCTGTGATGTTACATTTACGGTTCACATTCGCTTTTTACACTAATTACAAACTGCCCAAACCACTGTCCCTGCCCCCTCACCTCTATGATGTACTTGAGGGCCAGCACATAGTCCTGTTCCGTCTGGATCATCTCATCCAGGATCAGTACCATCCGCCGGTAGTTGGGATGTTCCTTGTTGCCCAACAGGCCAGCATTGGATGTCAGCTCCTCCAGCTTGAGTGGGGTACCAGGAACCTGGGACACCGACTTCCTGATGTGACGGTTGGCATCCTTCGGTGACCAGTGGGTTTCCGTCTGTAGTGGGCATCCAGGAAATACAGATTTGACCATTATAAAAAGTTGAAGAATGGTTTACTTTGGAAGATATACGGAAAAAATGCACAGATTGCTGCACTTACAAATGAATGATAACGGAATACTGATAATTAACAACCAGAGTTAGCAACCATTTCTGCAGTGGCACAATGCTCATGGACAGGTGGTACATGTGCATTACATGCCTCTTTGACCAATAGGGTGTTTATGATTTGCCAAATGCACGCACACATCAAGCTGAAGAATATGCATGTGACTGCGCTGCCACCACAGTCATCGCTTTCAATTGGATTCCTCTATGAGAAGAAAATTAATTATGTAAACTGCCAAATATGACCACGATGGAACTGTTAGTAATTTGACTTAAATGATATAGCTCTGGTTATTCAAAAAATATTCAAATAAAACCTCTCAAGCAGATATTCATCAAGTCTATGTATAAAGATGACCTTGCATTCTTAGTTAAGAAAGTTTCAGTCATCATTCTCAAAGTTGTACATATCTTTCCACTCAGTAAGAGCGAGTTTTTTTATATAAATTCTAGATTGCTTAGTTCTCAAACAATTATACTGAATACAAACCCCATCTGGAGTTTCCTCATCTGAGAGCTGAAACTCATCCTCCATGTTGGCCTTGCGACACACCCTATCCTGTTTCTCTTCAGAAGAATCCTCCACATCTTCAGACTTTCTAGACAGCATCATCGAGTAGCTTCTCTTGGGTTCCACAACTGGGTGAGTGACTGACTGGGTGGGCCGTCTCACGACATTTGTTTCTGCCTCCTCGTAGCCCTCATCCAGCTTCTCCAGACTGCTCGTCCTTTTCCCAGTGTCCACAATTTCACTGATGGGCTTGATTAGAGCAGCCATCTTGCGTTGCCTAACAGAGAACTCGTTGGGCGAATCCATGGATGTTGGTGATATCGGTAGAGCTCCTCTGTCAAGGATCTTATCCCCAACAGATATCCCCGAGTCCACCGAGCCATTACTGTGCAGGGAGTCTCTATGCTGCTTGGGTGGGGCAGACCGACTCCCCTTACGCAGCAGCTCTGCCTTACTGAATGGCCCCTCTGAGTCCTGTCCCCCACCCTGAGTGCCCTTCTGCGGTGTGAGACTCCCTGCTGCATCAAATGTAACAGAGGAGCTCCTCTCATACACCGTCTCATCTCTCTCTGTCCGGTTCCGGTCTCCCCACTCCAAGCCGAGCTTGGAACTGGACCGGGGGCTGCGCAGCATGCCATGCAGCTTGTCCATCTTATCCTGCATCATGCCGTGGGTCTCCTGGCACCGCCGCTTGGCAAAGTCGCACTGCTGGATGCACTGCTCCTTGCCTAGTTGCTTGGACAGTTTGCACATCTCCACAAAATCGTCCTGGGCAGTGGGTGGGTTGTCACGCAGGTACTTCTCAAGGGTGCATAGCTGAATGCGGCATTGCTCTCTAGTATTACTCTTCTCATGGCCGAGCACTGCTACAAATTTCATTCCATCAAGAGCCCATTCATATGCCTAAAATGAAAAGAGAGAACAGGTTTAACAGAGATAGGCAGTCTCATGTTACAAACCACATAATCAAAGCGCCTGCTGCACAATTTCCATGGACTGACATGGTAACTAAACAACCAAAGACATGTACAAAGTTCGAAACTCTGTTCATGTACCAAACTATTTCACCAACATTTTGTCCCCCCGGCAGGCAATGCTGTTTCAAAAATAACGGTAGAACTTCAGACCGTGAAGTAAAATTAATGTTGCTCACTGACATCTCATCAATTTTGCTTCTCCAAACATTCAACTAGGTCAAAGATGGGTGATCATCTACTGTCAGAGCGGTTGCTAAGCTTCATCAAAACAATTCGGGAAGTTTTTCTAAAACAAACAAAGCTGCCTCTAATCTAATTTTTTCCCTTATTGTTGTCCTAACTCCAGATAACAGCAACAATTAATTAAACGTACCATTTTTCTCCTTTATGCAGATCCCGATATCATATCATGTTCAAAACCAATGATTGTGAACATTTTGTCAAGAACAAATTTATCAAATGTCTTGTCTCTGGCATTGACGTCACCATAGCTGTGAGTCACGCAATGTATGTTTTAGTCTGGGGTGAGCACGCAAAGTACTTCTCCAAAGTGTTTGGAACATGCAATATGGGTTGTTTGGTAACAAAACAACCCCAAAAAAACAGCTGATTCACGGACCAAGGCCCCAAAATAGAAATATAAAGCAGCTTAGTAACATTACATAAACATTGGAGAACTGAGTGTACAATGTATGACCTTGTGTTTGGGTTTCTGTCATGGAAGAAACTTGTTCAACTCTGAAAGGGAAAGAGTTCCGCCCCTCGGTGTTTATGTGACTTTCTGTGCTTACTGAAGGGGTGGAGTGGAATCACTGTCGAGCGGTAAGGCAGGAACACTCAATTTTGTATATATGTGGGCCCCTGGACAAAAGGGGCTTTCACATGACACACTCTTGAGATTATTTCCATTTGAACTATTTCTAAAAAAGAGCAAACTGTTTTGTCCATTCATGTCTGTCACAAATTGAAGATAAACATGCAACCTGCCGAAAGGTAACGTATTCGAATGGCATTGTTTTGAAGCAACAAAAACAACACAAAGTTTGTTAACATCCAAGACCAACAGAACTTCTATATATTGCAAAAATGTATGTTTGGGTTGTTAACTGATGATGCAAAACAAAAGAACTGTACAGGACAAAATGTCTTCAGTTGGCAAATACAAACAAAGTTGTTAATTTATCTCCCCCCAACTCTACAATAGCCTGAAGTTTTATTTAATGAACAAACATTGTGTCAAGCAATGGCAATTGCCGGGCTCTTTCTTCAGCATTCCAGTGTAAAATAATGCACCCCAATAGTAGCCCAGTTGTGGATAACAAAGCTGTTAGAAGCCATGTTTTCTGTTTACAGCCAATAGCATGAAAATTTGCCTCTGCATCAAAAGACTGTCCGATGATGAATATTCTATTCTATACAACTTTCCTGGAAGAAAGGAATAAAACATTACATCTTCCACAAGTATTTCTTCCTAAACATATAACATTACTGAAATCAGACCAAGTCCTCTTACCTTCCACGCAAAAGGTCATTTCCAGACTGCATGATGCTGCATCAGAAAGTTCAAACTACACTAACAAGCGGTAACTTTTTACAAAGAAATAACAGCACAAGGCTATTATTGGACACCACCTCCCTGTACAAACCAGACCACTTATCACACACTGCATAGGAATTAATAACCATTCTTATCTTGTATCTGCTTGCACAACCAGTGAAGAGGCTAGATAATGTGGCACCACTGATAAGAGTTCACAGCTTACAGAGTTCCTACCCCTGTCCACACATCCCAGTCTGCCCGTAAGCCACCAAACACAAATTAAATACCAATTCATTAAGGTGCAGGGAGAACAATAAGTCAATTCTAAACTGGAACAGAGATCTATCAGCTTTCAAGGATGAGTAAAGAGTTTTTGGAATAATGCATAACTGTGAATAATGCTCAGTTAAACAGACTGGAAATAGCAACAAGTGATATGAGATACTGGAAGCACCCATCCAATGTGCCCATAATGTACCATCCACAAAAACCAAAACTCTTCTAATAACAAGCTGCAAGGTCCAAAATACAAATCAGTGACTGGTGTTCAAATTTGACTTGCATCTTATAGCAAACTGCACAGAAACAGGCAAGCATGTGTCAACAGGGAAAAAAATCTAAACCTTTTCCTCAAAATAGAAACAAAACCTAAAGTTATCTAACCAAAATAAAATTACACAGTTCTAAATAAAACTTAACATGGCCACTGTCCTGACTCCTAAGGAATCAAAATATCATAATCTAAAATAAAATGTAAATCTATTTTTATGAAAGAATCACGAGGCACAGACCAAAAAAAGGAAAGATTTCTGCTCACCATAGCAAAGCAACTGCTGAATGAACACAATGTTGACAATAACAACACCTGCTCAAGTCAGTGCACCTCTGGTCATTCCAATGTAAACAGTGCTAGTTACACAGAGCTACAAAGACATTGGTTGTACAAAGTCTACTGACTGATGTCAAGCATTCAAAAAAGATCAGCAAGATCTGACGGTAAACTTATCAACACAAGTATCAAAGCTGTGCCTCCATCCTGACCAACTTCCCTAAAAAAACGAACTCCAAAAACTTTCCCCTAACTTCACTTTTAAGTTGTTTCTAAGCTCACTTTGTCACCACCAACTCCCTCCCCTTACCACCAAAGGACAGAAACGACCAATCACACTGCATCTTGATCTTCCTCCGTTCCAGGATAAGTTACTGTGTTAATCGGAGATTACCCCACAGGCCATGTTTGCTCATATAGTGAAAAAAAAAGCCAAGGAGATTGGTAACTGGGTTTCTACCAGGTTTTATCCCTTCAACAAACTTGAGGAGAGTGAGAGGAGTGGTGTGTGTGACAGATGTCCAGAAAAAAAAGGCTTTTTGCTCTAGCTGCCAAGTTTTCACAGAGCAGGCAACCAAGATATGGACAAAACTTTTCCACATTAAAGAATGGGCCATCGAGCTTGTACAAAACTGGGCCTGGAAAAAGTAGGCCACAACCCACATTTGTTGGATTTTTGAGCAAATAAAATAGCATAATGTTTGACATGAGTAATATTCGTTTGTTTGAAAGGAAGCAAGTTGTAAATGCACACCAGGGCAATTACAGAATTATCTCAAACACTGAATGAACTGGTGTGGCTCCAGCTTGTAGAATCTGATCCAATGAACACAACACTGACGAGGCCTCCACTGTACTTGGGTACTGAACTAACTCTGACAGTGAAGAACAAATGTTCACCATTCAGAGAATGACTGCCAACCTAATGTTGACATGAGTGCAAAGCTGCATCCTGAAACTTCAAGGATTTTAGTACTGCAATAGAATTAACAAGTTGAGGTTCCAGGAAAGACTGACAAAGGCACAGAATTTGACAACCTGCTTAGTTTTATTAACTAAATAATTGCTCTGTAAGTTTGAAAAGAAAATATCTTGGTGCTTGAGTTTTGTGGAAACTAGTACAAACTTACCTCACTATTATAAAGCACAAGAACCACAATGGCCAATCCTTGATTGCGGATAAAGAAATGGAAGGAAACAGCTGACAAAAAAAAATGACAGGGACTAGGATCTGCAAAGAACAGTGGAGCACTGTGTGTGTTCTACTCATGACAGTCAGTGAGTACACTTCAGTGAAGCTGCCAGTCCACAGGAAACACGAGAAGCAGTTTAACATCAAGCCCCATGCACAAAAACTGAACATTTGTTTCTCAATGTGCATGTTCACACAATGTATAAAAGCTGCATGACTTAAAACGGAGCTGAAATAATTTCAATCTGCCAAACATTTTTCTTGTCCACTACAAAGAGAACAGAGGATGAAAACTCAGAGTAAAACCTTTTGGGTCACAGCAGACAATGGCCTCAAACAAGACCTACAAAATTAGATAAATCGCATAACATGCATTTAAATGTTTAGTGCCACAAACCCCACAGCTGTGTGCTCACAACTGACCATTTGCAACTGTCAACAAACAAAGCAATATTACTGAGCCTCCATGCAGCTGGATGACAAATGGCCCATTTCCTAATCAATTCTATCATAGATCCATAGCAAGAAATCTCTACAACTTCCCCGTGCCCCTCCCCTTGACAAATCCACTGGCCCTGAAAGAGGAGAAACTACCTACAACTTACATATGTAAAGTCTTTTCACATGACAATGTGAAAAAAAAAAACAAAATTAGTTATCCACTTAATGCTGGCTGACAAAGTTCCCAAACGGCAACAAGAGGGAGTTTGTGACACTGACTCTTGACAACTTTAAACTGAAGAGGATACACGTTTTTAATTTGAAGCTTCATTTGGCCAGATAGAAACCCTGGGACAGATTGGAGGTGGTATAAGGCAGGGGAGGAGGAGAGGGTGGCATTAGAGATAATAAGAAAGGGGGAGAGACATTTGGCCCCACTCTTCACTCTATCTATTAAAAGCAGTTATGTATAGAAATTACTTTCCAGTCTCATGTGATCCTGGACCCACCCTCCTTTATGGTCACAACGAAATTAGAGGTAGAAATCAAAACAGTTCCAGAAAGAATAAAAGTATCACTTTTTTCAGGTAGTGGCTGATATCCAAACAACTTCAGACAGTGCAAGTCTTGGTAGGGACTACTAACTTAAGGAAGCAGGTTTCAGCTCAGATGAAGACTTTTTATAGGTCCAAGAGAAAGGGGCACCTGTTGGGGGAGCAACTTGTGTTGAACATAGGTTTTTCAGCTGACATGGTATTGAGAGCTTCCTGGGTTGGTGGTGTGTTTATGGATGAGCATTAAAGGACAGGATATCATCATGACATCAATGATAAGGGAACGGAATCCTGATGATATAATCAGACAGTCGAGAAGCTCTAGACAGTGAATATCATGTGATGTTGGATTTGCACCATGACTCATCAGGGGTTATGGAACCTTCTCTAGTAGGCGCTGTTATCCTTTCTCGAGTTGGTACATGTACCTATGATGTTAATACACAAAAATTTTCATACTTGTGTTGCACAAATATGAGGAAAATAAGCAGATGAGCATGACAGAATTTCAAAGAAATTGCTGAGCAAAAACTTTGAAATCCTTAACTCTGCACACCATGAACATTTTACTGAATTTGATTTAGCTTACATTATCTGCCTCCGTAACTCCTATCTCTGGCTTACAAGTCGCATGGCAATTAGCCAAGCCTACTGACAAAATATGCTAGCAGTGTAATTGACAGGGGCTTAAAAACTGAAGCCTACTAAGGCAAGGGATGACTTGAAGATGGGAAATGTCCACCAATTATCTGTCCTTAAATTTCTCACGATTCCAAGCACAATTTGTATCCATTAGCACATCAACTTCAAGGGAAACAATCACTCATACCTCATTGCAAAGCTTGAGGAATCCATGCAATTGTTTTGCTCACTGACTCCCATGTATTTCCTGTGAGGAGAAGGCCCAGTGATCAACAGGACATGACTTATGCAAGGGTACTGTTTGGGAGACATCAGGGTGATTATATCTGACAAACAAGTGTGTTTCCTCCCACCTTCTACTGAAGGCCGGATGAAGTCAGGAACACCTGTGGTCTCACACGCTCACCACGGAATAGCCTCCGACTAGGAGCCAGTGCCGTACATCAACTTGTACCAAAATGTTACTCCCACAAAAACAACCATGAAAGAATTCTGCTGTATCAGGTTTTCTCTGCATCATTGGTTTAACTTCAAATCTACATTTTTGAAATGGGCTATAACAAACTTGAAAAACAAAGCTATAAAAACGTTGTAGGAAGCATTCAAATCTTGTGGCTTCGTGTAGTTGTACATGTTCATGTACAACCCAAATGCCACAGGAATCAATTCAACACACATAAAGGACTAGAGAATTGTCATCATACACATGTGAGGGCAGGGTAACATTCCAAGAATATCATTTCAGCAGTTGTCATGCAGCGCAGT